CGGCCCCGCTGCCTCCAGGCACCTGCGTTCACTGTTCACCACCTTCAAAGGGAGCCGGGCTGGGGCAGGCTCCGCGCAGCAGGCGGCAGGGACAGCCAGCCTCGCGGGCCGGAGGATGCTCGGCTTGTGTGCGAGCTCGTGCGTGTGCCCACCTGTGTGCTCGGAGACAGAACACAGGCTGGTCACTGTACTGATCGTGTCCGCCCCGGGCAGCTGTGGGCCTGGTCGTGAATGGAAACTGGACATAAAGTTCCTTAACTCGACGGGGCTGGCGTGGCCCTCAGGCCAACAGTGCAGACACTCGGACACGGGTGTCGTGACGCCTCTCCTGCCTCCTGGGACACCACTCCCAGGTGCCAGGCTATTCTTTCCTGAGCCGCAGTCGGCACCTCTGAGATCAGAAAGCCATGCATACGTACGTGCACTTGCGCGTCAAAGTACAGAGACAGAAGTCCACGCTGGGTCACCTGTGGAGAGCACTGCAGCCCACGCTCCTGCGTGGCTCTCTCCCTCCGCAGGTGGAAGGCTGCCCCAGGTGAGGATGGCTTCCCCTGGGGAGCAGCCCCATCTCTGTGGCCTCCCCCAGCGCTGCACACAGACGGCCATCGTCCTGCTGGGGATGCGTGCGCCCGGCCAGTGCAAAGGCTGCGCTCTGACAGCTCTTCGTGCCACCGACACGTCGCTGGGGTTTGACTTCCAGCCCCGTTCCCAGCAGGTGGCTGCCCTGACCCCAGCACAAGGCCCTCTCCACTTGCCCTGTGCGGGAGCAGGTCTCCTGACACTTGTGTATCTTCCCGGCACATCGCTGACGCCTCCACTCCCAGCCGGTGGGTCACCCCTTCCAACAACAGCGGCCAGAGCATCCCGTGGCAGGTGCAGCACTGGTGTCTGGCTTCCCGCCCCACCTGGGCTGCCCTCCTGCCCCACTGACCCTACTCACACCTCCCCCACTGCCCCCTGCTCGCTCCTCCTGCCCCACTGCCCCCTGCTCGCACCTCCTGCCCCACTGCCCCCTGCTCGCACCTCCTGCCCCACTGCCCCCTGCTCGCACCTCCTGCCCCACT